CAACTCCATTTTTCCTCACCTTTTCATCTCCAGAGAAATATATCATATGATCATCTGAATCAAAAATGCCAGTCCATCTCATCTCCCCAATGCCTAGTATGTCAATATTTATGCGGTCCATTTCTTCCTTAACAATATCTAATTTTTCTACATTCATGGTTCTCACATTCCACATCCCAGTCACTAGTGTCTGCTTACAACTGTTTCTCTTCCTTTGTTTTTTTAATTTTTTTAAATTTTATTAATTTAAATGAACATTTAGAGAGATTTGGAATTTCCCTTCATTGTTGTACTCTTCTCCCTGCCCAACCCTCCCCCCACCCAGTTCACTCCTCTTCAAAAAGTAAAATTATTTCATTGGTATACAACCCCCAACCCACTAAGGCCCAGAATTCACTCCACTATGTAACCTTAGTTCTGGACTCTTGTGATAACCATAATACGCCATCATATATAGCTTTTAAACTGTTCTCTTCCTCATCTGTTTCAATGCAGTATACAGAATTTATCCAGTTTTTCTCAGTATTACCCCAACCCTGATGTCAGTCCCATTCTACAACAGTGGCACAATGCATTATTTGTCCTTTTGTGTCTGAGACACTTCACTCAGCATAACGTCCTCCAGGGTCACCCATTTTGAATAAAATTGCATGAGTTCCTTGTTTTTCAATGCAGCATAGTATTCCACTGTGTGAATGTACCACAGCTTCTCTATCCATGGGTTTGCTGATGGGCACTTAGGTTGTTTCCAACTCCTTGCTATTGTGAACAAAGCTGCGATAAACATGGGTGGGCATATATCTGCTTGGATGTTGTTTCTCTTCTTTTGTATTTCCATACCTGAAAGCTCAACCTCAGTTGCCCTTTCTGTTATCTACATGTGAATACTACTTAAATAAATTCTATAATACTGTTTTAGTTTTCTTTTTTGTAATACTGTTTTCTAATCAAAGGAAATCTTTACAAAACTTCTCTACAAAGAGCAAAAGTGGTGCCTGGTATTGAAAAAGATTAATTAGATGCCTTGATCTATAAGAAATAATAAAATATAAGGTCAATAAGAGAGATTTTCTCAAATAAAATATTACCCTGTAAAATGCTGTACCTTGGAGGAGCCAGTGTCTGCTCTAGAAACTCCTCAATTTTAATGAAGTCTGTTTTCAACTCCTTGTTAAACATCAGGAATGGAGGATTGGTGCCTGGAGCTAAGTCCTTCAGCTCTTCAGGTTTTCTATGATTATTGAAAATAAGCAGAGTTAGGCCTATAGATAAAGCACACATTATATAAATCTCAACATTATATTAGTGACCACTGAACTCAGTTCCCAAAATGAAACATACTCTGATTTCTCTTACCTGGTCATGTCAACAGTAGTCACATTGAATTTAACTCCTTTAAGCCACAGGACCATAAAAAGGCGCTGGCAAAAAGGACAGTTTCCAATGTTCTCCCCATCACTCGCAGCCTATTAAGAAAGTTCATTCATTAGTTCATTCATTCATTCAACTAGGCTAGTTATTGGAGACACAGGCCCAGTGGAAAGTTTTTACTTTCATAGATTCTACAATTTACAGATAGAAATGATAAGTGTAAAAATCTCATTACATCTATAACCAGGAGAGGATAAAATAGATGAATGGGACCTTGCAAGAATCAAATCTCTATGCACATCCAAAAAGTACTCCAACAGGGTAAAAAGGGAAGCCACAGACTGGGAAAAAATATTTGGCAATGACATGTTTGACAAGGGACTTAAATCTAGAATTTATAAAATACTTGAGCACCACAAGATAAAGGTAAAAAACCCAGTTGAAAAATGGGCACAGGATATGAACAGACACTTCACCAAAGAAGACATTCTGATAGCAAACAATGAAGAAATGTTCAAAATCCCTAGCTCTAAGAGAGATGCTAATCAAAACAACTATGAGATATCATCTTACACCAGTAACAGAACAGCAAGCAACAAATGCTGGCGAGATTTGGGAGAAACTAGAACTCTTATTCATTGCTGGTGGGAGCGTAAAATGGTGCAACCATTACAAAAGGCTGTATGGTGTTTTCTCAAAAAGTTGCAAATAGAAATACCATTTGACCCAGCAATTCCACTACTGGGAATATACCCCAAAGAGACCATAACTGCCACCCAAGCAAATATATGCACACCCATGTTTAT